TCTGCTATGGAAAATCAACTTGTTTCGCCCAAAATTCAATTTTGTGAACACAATAAAACATGCCAAATTCTACAATTCTTAACCCAAACAATACATGTCCATTCTAATCAATTTATCACATCAATTTCATCAATTTCAATCGATTACAACAATCAATATCAAACATAATCTACACCCAAAACCTAACATTCATATCATCACATACCCATTATTATACCACTTATTAGAGAGTGGGAACTCCACTCTTACCTTAGATTGTAGATTCTTCAAGCTTCAATAATGGTTCCTTTCTTTCTAGCTCTTCCTCTTTCTCGCGTCTACTTCTCTCGTTTCTACGATCGATCAAAAACAAAGCACTCTTCTATTCCTTTTGTTTTTACTTATATAGCATTTGGACCCTTAATATCACTATTCCAACTATTGCCCTTCATAATACCAGAATAATTTATTTAATTATTATACTATAATAATAAATCTAATTTTTTAATTCAAATAATACTAATAAATTATTTATCTCTCTACACCTTTATGTTTGTTTCTACGCTTTTGGTCATACACACCTAACATCTCAACTCCTATAATTTCTAAGGCATCTAATTCCCAACAAATGCATAACAACACATCAAAAAATTCACTAAAGCCTATAAATACATCACATCACCTAATTAATTAAAATAAAATAATTCAAACAAAATCAGGGTGTTACAGGGTGAATAGACCCCCAACTAAAATTACATTTCAAAAATAGGTGATTAAATTATTTTTTTTTGAAAAACAATGTTGCGCGGAAGATTTTTAGCCTAGATAGAAAAATTCGTCTGAACGAACCTAATTATTGGAAGCTCAGATATGTGAAAGTCGTGCGGAATCAATCAATGATAAAAGTAACCAACTCAATTGTTTCACAATTAATCGTTTATAACAAATCACTACAACCACCTATTTCTAATGAAATTGTGTTAAAAACAAAATTTAACAATTTATCAAACACTTGACGCACAATCAATTTTTCAGAATTTCTCTTGAGATTTGTTGACTTGAGAACACCACTTACAATAAAAATGATTATAAGTTGATCAATAAAGCAATTTAAACTTTAACAATCAAAGAAAAATTATATATGAATTGATCAATCAAACACCAAGTTCAACAAATTTCATATAGAAAGTAAATGAGAGAGAGTGAGAGAACAACACAAGGATTTATTTATGAAGTTCACCAATTGTCCTTTTTATGGCTATGCCTCCCCCCAATTCCGTTTCGGAATTGAGATAAGTTTCTTACTTTTCAAAAAGTTGATTACAAGAGAAGTGTTATAAGAGCAACCCTATAAATCCTTAATCGTTTGATGTTGATTCAACATATTCTCTTCTTTTGATATTGAACAAGACCAAGACATAATAGATCCAATTTATCCACCACTTAAGCTACTTGTTTTCAAGGTCCCAAATCTTCAAAGTTTTCACTCGAGTGAATCCAATTGCGACTGTTGAACCCAAGAACTTCCAATTTGATTCTTCGTTCTCGCGCTACTCCTTTGCGAGTTACCAAAACTCCAAAGCTTTCACTTGGCCGCAATCCTCTTTTGAAAGTCTTGTATAAATCCCCAAATCTACCAAAGATCTTAGAGGATAACCCCTAGGTTTTTCCAGATGAAACCCCTCCATAATTCTCAACCAATATTCTCGGTTCGGTCATGCTCACCAACCTAATTGGACGTTATCAACCTCGTCTAGATTGCACCCTAACAAAGAATAATTATGTGTAATTTGTTAGTGTGTATGCATAGATTGGAGGTTTAAGATGAAGAGCAATGGTGGTAAGTGTTTATGGTTTCCTCAAGTTGAAATGATGCATGTATGATTTATTTATAGTAGTGGAAATTTTATGTCAAAGAGGCAAACTTTGGAATTAAAAAAATGTGAAAATTTTGACCTAAAACAACAGTAAGTGTTGACTCGAAAATCTTATGTGTTGGCTTGAAAAGATTATATGCTGGCACATGATATTATGTGTTGGCAAATATTGTCAAACATTAACACATGTGCTGGCGCAAAATAGGTAATATGTCAGCACATGCAAAACCTAGGTTGTAATCTTTAATAATGTAGTATATGTGCCGGTACATAACATGCAATGTGTCGGTGCATAAACTTGTATTTTTAAGCATAAATGTTGTATGTGTTGCAGGCTTTAATATTGAAGCACGTGTGTCGGCACATGCAACTCATTTTTGTGCATAAACTGATTTTTCATGATTTTGGCCAATTTCAAACTTGTTTTGAATGATTCCTAAAATCTCTAATGTAAGGGTGAACCAAACGACACAGAGATATCGTCAAATATACAAAAATGTTAAGTTTTCCTAGTTTTAACATCATATAAAACATCTAATGGTGAAGTTGCACTCACGATGATAATAATAATTTGAAATTGTTCATTGAGGGGCATACCTTCTGTAATGATTTCATGAGAAATTTTATGAATTTTGTGCCTTTGAACTTCCACAGACCTTTCATCCACCATCTTACAGTTCATGTAGCGGCTGACAACATATTTCTTTGTGCATGCTTCTTCAGAGTCATACTTCTTTTGCATAGCTTCCCATACATGTTTAGCAGTCTTGTAATTACTGTAATTATCATACAAATCATCAGCAAGACTGTTCAGAATGTAATTTTTTGCATAAATAGTCATTCTCTTGCCATAAGGCGATTTCTTTCCTGAGTTGTAAATTATTTATTGCGCTTTAGCTTTTGCAGCAAAGTCTAATTCATACGATTTGGGAGTCTCTTCTGATTCCACATTTGTCTTACCATTAGTTAGTTCAGTTGATCCAGAAGGAGAAACAGGGATTTCCTCAGTATGAACGTGGGTCGTCTTCTTTAAAGTTAAGAAGAACTTCATCTTAGCTTGCCAATGTTTGAAGTGAGAACTCTCAAACTTAAATGGTTTATCAGAGACAGCAGCGGCCGCAGTAGTATCGATAATTTCCTCAATAGTCATGGCAATTAAAGCAACGTCTTAAAATTGTTTTTCGATTTTGCAAAAAATGCCACAAAGAAAATTATCGGGACAAGTCTTTACTATGTAGCTTTCTTTAAGGTATTTCGACGTACTGCCAATAATTATGCAAAGCAGTCGAGTTTCGACGACGTCTCCAGGATAAAACAACCATGTTCAAAAATATGATTATCATTTGCACGGTAATAAACCGTTCGAAGAGATACACCTTCATATGGTATTTAAACAAGTCGTAGTATCTGGAAATAATTCAGTCGTTGATGGTGTGATAAGCCACTCGAAAACAGAAAAGAAAAAATTTCAGATGAAACAGAGTAGAGAGAGAAGAGAGAATTCAAATATGGAATTTTGGAGTGAAGAACAAGTGATGGAAGGGTCGCTATTTATTGTTGATGGTCTGACTCAACTGAAGAGAAAATCGTGAGAGAAGTGAAACAGATCCAACTCATTACTAATTGTTACCAACTTGGTCATCAAGGAGACCGAAGACTTTGTACGCTAGGCAAAAAAACGCGGTCAACATTTAGAATTAGGTTAATGATTAACTTATTAATTAATAATTCACAATAATAATAATAATAATAATAATAATAATAATAATAATTATTATTATTATTATTATTATTATTATTATTATTATTATTATTATTATTATTATTATTATACACCACATACGAAAACTATTTAATAATAAAAAATAATATTAAATAATTCTTCTCTTTTTCGGGGTCCAAAAATTATTAAATCAAAGCCTAAGACTAAGATCGGACTAGATGGTGGCGGACCACGTTACATATGTTTCATGGTAGTGTGTTCTCAGTCAATCACAAAATTGGATACTCTTGGAACCAATCTAATTTGTCCACTTGAAATATATAAACACGACTAAAGTGTGTTCTTCCTCCTATGTGAGACTTTAATGAAATTTTTCAAATTCACTAACACATTCTAGTTCATACTTGTGCTTATTTAATATCATTAACTTCTTCTAAGTCTCCACTCTAAATAATCATCAAACCAAGATTTCCAACCGTATTGAATTAATCCAAAATATATCTAAAAGATATATATATATAATTGCATTACATCCTATTTAGTTTCCTCGGGAAAAAAAATATTTAGAGGGGAATAATTACAGAGATGACTAATAATTAGGGAGGTGGAATTATTGTAAAAAAACATATTAGCATTATTATATTTTCTTAAGATTTGGGATTTCTTCATTACCAATATTTCACTTTAGTGTTACAAATTTATTTAGAAGGGTCACACCACTTGGCTAGGAATATCAATAGATGTGAAGGAAGAAGTGATTTTTTATTAGTATAGAATGGTATACTGTTTGGGGCGGAACAGTTTAAATGTTTGTGTCACTTGCAAGAAGTCGAGAAATATGTTATGAAAATTTCTTATCCCATCCTATGAGGTGGAAGTGGAAAATAACACTAAGAATTTCAAAACTGTCTCTTAATTTTTAGAAATGCATCTCTAAACACATCTCATACACTTATAATTAGTTCGTTTTTAAACTATTCTGAAAATGCATTTCCGACAAAATATATGTGTATGAAATACGTTCGGAAATGCATCTCCAAAATCAAAGTATTTTCAAAATTTCACGTAATGCACTAGTAATCCATATAATACATTAAGAAAATCCCATATGAGTGTAGATTTGTTGATTTAACACAATGAGAACAAAGCTGTTAGCAAAGGCATCCATTTAAGTTTCGAAATCTCTTGCATGTAAATTGTTTCGATGACGCAATCGGTGAATCATGGTTTTGATAACCCTGTCTCTTTCCTTACAAAGTACAAGAGGCATAAAACATTTAAGGCAGGAATAAATGTAGGTTACTGCAAACAAGATACTGTTACACTACACAATGAGATGACAACGTCCGGCAAAAACATAAAAACAAAAGACTAACAACACTTTTAACCAATTAACTCTATAACTTGCATATTTAAGCTGTTCATGCAGCCTTTTCAACAATGCTTCTCTTCCACTTTTTATCTAGCTTTCTGGACAACCTCTTACTAATACCCTCCTCAATCTCTCTTTCCCGCTTTACAGTAAGCAAGCGAGCAATCTGCATTGACATTAAGAGTAATCATTCATCCAAAAAATAACAGACAGGTAAAGTATAGCATTTGGTAGTTATAATTACCCGACAGTAAAGCTCTCTAGGATCATCTGCTGTTATAATTTAATATTAAAAACCAAAATGAGAGTAGACCAGTTTGTCTATATTGCGATTCATCCCCCTCTTTCTATTATGTGCACTGCATATCTTGTTTTCACCGTGGAATCTAATCATTCTAAATCCTAGCTACTGTGCCGTTTCTTTGCCAACTGAATCCTAATGTCCACTCTTCCTAATTCAATTGTTTATTGGGGACACAAACTGATATAATGATGAAAAAAGAGTCATGAGCCTCCCATTAGGGTGTGTTGCAGCAAGTCAGTTACTACTAGTGAAGGGAACTCTATTATGCTGGATGCTAACAAATGGAACACAACAAACAGGTTTTCAAAATTGACCAAACTCTATAAATGTATTTAAATTGACCTAATTTGTGTTTAAACTCATTCATAATAAAAAAATTGTACAGAACTAAAAATAAAAAAGCAAACCACAAATTTACCCTAAAAATGAAGCAAGTGTAAAACAAGCATAACGCAATTCACTACAAATCAATAACCTAAAGAGAGAAAATATACCGTCTTGCGCATTCTCGAAAACTCACTAGATTTAAACTCAGTACCAGCAGATTTCTCAAGACGAAGCATGGCCAAGCCGCCTTGAAGGTTAACAACCTCTTCGTTGATTTGTTCAGTACTTTTAGTTCTAATTTCCTTCAATAGTTCTTCTCTCTTTCCCATCATCACTGGGACCAAAGCGGCGCGTTTCGTCGCTGGAATTGTGCAAGTGTTAGGTTGAAGAAGCCGAATGCCATCGAAGGAGGTTTTGAATTGTAATGGTTTGGGAAGAAAGGAAAGTGTTGAAGAAGATGGTGAAGTAACGGAGAGGCTCAGCATTTTGGTTCTGTGTTCTCTTGGTTGTTTATTGTATGAACCAAAAATGTGTAATGTTTCAAGATAATATCCACACCCTATCTAATCTATCTCCTTCATCTTTTATCAGTGCCACTTCTATTCTATTTTGTTTTTTTCTTTTCTTTATAAAGGATAATTATTTAATTAAATAAAATGGTTTTTTTTAGCAAAACAGAACTAACTATTATCATTCAAAATATACTATTTAATACAAGAAGGAATTACATTAATATTACTGCATCTAATCCATAAATTAGTTACCTTTGTTAACGACTGAACAACTTTATTCGATAGACGTCGAAATAAAATGATTTTTAACAACTGTTTTAGACTGGACCCGCCCTGACCCAAAAGCAAGAATGAAGGTCCAATCCAAACAATTCTTCGAGGAGCGCGCGTCCGAGGATTCCCGCCAGCGCGCCCGACCAGAATGACAGTCGTGTCTGCCGTTGCCCGCGAACATGGTGTCCTCGACCACGGGGAACTCCAGCTCGAGCCCAACTCGAGCACCTTCCTCGTAAGGCAGACTCTGACCGTTACCAAATCACCTGAACTCCGGAAAGACCGCGTCTTCGTCCCTCCTCATTTCTCACAGAGCATCACCAGGAAGGAGACCACGTGCGGGTCCCCACTACACACGTAGAACCTGGCAGTTCCTTTATTGGGTCAGTTCTGGTCGGCCTAATGAATGGACCTTGGCCCCGCGCTGGGGGCTATAAATACCCTATGTTCCTAGAGGGTCAGGTATTCATTCTCTTACCCATACATGCACTTTTTTGCCTGGTCGTACCATCACTCACTTTAGCATCGGAGTGCCTTACAGGTACCCCCCCCACCTCACTCAACTTCCGCTCGGAGCCAGTCGTGACGGTCTAAGTCTGATCAGGTAAGATCAGTGGCGCGTCTGTGGGAAACTAGCTTCCCCGTCTTGCAAAACCTCGAAGACCAAAGCTCAATATCACTTCCTACCGTCATGGCTGACCAAGTTCGGGATGACCAAAACATCTGCGTCGTCGACATCAACAACAGCCTCGCAGATAAAAATGGACTCCCCGACAACATCGGTAACCCCGGTCATAACACACTCCCCGGGGGCGCCAAACCCGGGCCCTCAGTCCACCGCGACGGAGTTATTGCATCATCCTCTTCAGTCCCTCCGCTGCTCGAAGAAGACAACGCAGCTCCCATAAGCCATCGAGCTGCCCAATTTCAGGAAGTCCATGTCCCCGCCGGGGTAGATGCCACAACCCGTGCACTATTCGCGGCGATCAATCAAACGAATTACCTCATCTTCGCCCAGGGGGAAAGATTGAGGGCACTAGAAGATGATCGAAGGCCCGCGAGGAGACACAGGAGGCCCCAGACTCCACCTCCTCGAGTGACAGAGGTACATCTCCCGTTTCCCCCGCGGAGACACTACAGAGACACCTCCCGAAGCCCGTCACCCCGACCCTCGGGGAGACGACCCCCTTTGGAGAGGCAACCCGTCATTGAAGTTGGGGGACATGGCCACGCCCCCATACGGTAAGAGAGAAGACACTCTGGAGACAGGCACGGAAGAATCAACCAACGAGCACCACGCTCGAGGGATGCCCAACACGACCAAGACCGTCGGGCTCGACAATATTACAGGTCCCCGTCCCTGTCCCCGGAGCAAAGTGACGAGGACGACCCCCGCGGTCCCCTGTCACAAGCCATCATGGAGGCGCCCATTCCCCCGGGTATGGAGAAGCCTCCACATCTGAAGGAATACGACGGAGTCGCGGACCCAATCAACCACATAGACGGGTTCGAGGCTATGCTGCACTACCATAACGTCGGGGGACCCATCAAATGTCGGTTGTTCCCCACGACCCTTAGAAAGGCAGCAATGGATTGGTGGTATAAAGGCCTCGCTCCAGGATCAATCACCTCGTGGCGAAACCTGAAGAACCAATTCATAAGTTCGTTCACTGTGTCTCGGCGACACCCAAATACCGAGACGGCTCTCGAGGCCATCATCCAGAGACTATATGAAACCTTGAGAGAGTTTATTAATCGCTTCAATCGCGAAGCCATACAGGGGACCGCGGACCACATGAAAAGGTATTTGCTGGAGAGGGGGCTTCTCCCCGGCACAGAATTCCGAAAGGCAGTAGGCATCGAGCCACCCCGAACATTTGATGCCCTCCTCGAAAAAGCCCGGACATATATGGATTACGAGGAAAGGGAGGCGGCTAACAGGGCCCGGGACCCCAGAACTCGCGGATCCAGCAGCAACCCGCGCCAGGAAGCCGCTCCTCCCCGACGGACCGGGGAGAAAAGAAAAGAGGACAGACCCCGAGAAGTCTGAGAGCAAAGAGGACTCTCGGGGCATTTTACCGAGTACACTCCGCTCACAGCTTCCCGCGAGCGCATTTTGGCAGAGTGTACCAGCACAGATTTTAAAGACAGCAGCGTCAAACGCCCCCGACCTGCCCCCGCCAAGCCCGGAGCAGACAAGAGCAAGTACTGTCAGTACCATAGGAGCCATGGTTATCTGACTGAAGACTGCGTCCACCTCAAGGACACCATCGAAACCCTCATCAAGGGAGAGAGGCTCGCCTAGTACCGGCGAAACGATGCTCCCCGTCGTGACTCCCGAGAGACAAGAGAACCGGAGGAAGACACCCGACCATCTGACGAGTCGGTCCCCGTCCAGACCGCCTTCTCCGTCACCAGACCAGAGGACTTATACGTCCCCGAGAACCTGCAGGAGCCGCTCACGATGCACAGCAGGTGGGAACACTTCCCCTCCGCCATGGTCATCAATGGTGGAGGATTCAACGACCTAACTATCAATTCGGCTAAAAGAAAGCTGGACGAACTGGTCGACACGACACCTCCACAAACAGTGACCTTTGAAAGGGTAAAAGGTAGGTCAGAGCCCATCACCTTTTACCTCGAAGAGCTCCCCGGAGGAGACCCCAACGCAGTCATTCCTCTACTAATAAGAGCGAGAATGGCTAACTTCGATGTGCATCACATCCTCGTCGACGAAGGAAGTTCCGTCGACGTGATGTACAGTCAGTTATTCCGGACTCTGCAGCTAGACGACTCGCACCTCTCGCCATATGTAGGGTCGGACTTACAGGGCTTCAACGGCTCGACCTCCAAGCCTTGGGGGTATGTCGAACTCATGGTTACCTTCGGCAAGGGCACGAAGACGAGGCAAGTTAAAGTGCACTTCCTCGTCATCGATTGCCCGTCCCTCTACAACTGCATCCTGGGGAGACCAACACTGGCAAAACTGACCGTGGTACCCTCCATCGTCCATTTGAAGATGAAGTTCTACACCAAGAGGGCTTGGGTAGCTACCATCCAGGGGGACCTAGCCGCTGCTCGAAGGTGTTTCAACGCCGCATCTAAAGGACGCGACACTGTCGACACCGAGACAAGGCCCGCCAAGAGACCGGCGACAAAGAGACAGGAACTCGACAAGCCAGAGCCCGCCAAAGAGGAAGACCAGATAGCTCCCCTGAAGGTCGACTCCATAGCTCTGGATGCTCGTTTCGACCAGGACGAACCTCCCAACGGCAAGTAAATCCCCCTCCGACCAATCTCGGACGGGGACTTCGAGCTAGTCCCCCTCGGCGCAGACCCGAGCAAAGGAGTGAAGATTGGCATCGACCTCCCCGACCTAGCAAGGAAGCAAATCAAAGCCTGATTGCGCGAAAATGCTGACCTGTTCGCCTGGAGCGCTGTGGAGATGCCCGGACTTGACCCTGAGGTCGCCTGCCACCACCTCGCCATAGATCCTGCCGCTAAGGCCGTAGTACAACATAGGCATAGGCAGTCTCCGGAGAAAACAGAGGCTGCTGAAAAAGCTGTAAAAGACCTCCTAGAGGCGAATTTTATTTCTGAAGCCCGGTATTCAACCTGGCTGTCAAACGTTGTATTAGTTAAAAAGAATAATGGAAAATGGCAAATGTGTGTTGACTATACCGATCTCAACCGGGCATGCCCGAAGAATGCTTTCCCTTTACCAAACATAGATATGTTGGTCAACAACTCGGCCGGCTACAAGACATTGTCGTTCATGGATGCCTATTCAGGCTATAACCAAATCCCAATGGCCATGGTAGACAAACATTGCTGCCTTCATGACCAGCTCGGGCAATTATTACTACAACGTAATGCCCTTTAGACTAAAGAACGCAGGTGCGACTTACCAACGTATGATGAACAGGGTGTTCCACAAGCAGATCGAAGACATGCTCGAGGTCTACATGGACGACATGATCATCAAATCCCGAGCAGACACCGGTCATGCAGCACTCCTCAAGGCAGTCTTTGCCCAAGTAAGACAATGTAAGATGAGATTTAACCCCGAAAAATGCACGTTCGGAGTCAAGGCGGGGAAATTCCTCGGGTTCTACCTGACAGAACAAGGAATTGAAGCCAATCCCGACAAATGTCGAGCATTCTCCGACCTCCCGACACCGACGTCGAAGAAATCAATACAAGTCATGAACGGCATGCTCACTTCATTGTCCCGCTTCGTCGCAAGATCCGCTCAGCATGCCCTCCCCTTCTTCAGACTCCTTCGCAAAGAGGCAGCCTTCGAATGGACTGAGGAATGCGAACGGGCACTACGCCACCTGAAACAAAGTCTATCCTAACTGTCCGTGCTATCTCGACCAATCGACGGGGAGCCATTATTCCTATACTTGGTCGTCTCGAACGAAGCCATCAGCGCGGCTGTGATACGGTGGAAGAACTGACTTGAGGTTTTGCGTTTGTTTTCGTAAATGTTTCGGTTGATCAAGAGTCGCCACCGACTTTTTATTTTATCCTAAGGAAAGGTTAAAAAGCACAGCAAAAACCTTTGAGATATTTTCTTGGGTTCGGGGGGTAGATTATAGAAAGGGAAGGTATTAGCACCCTTTTTATCCATGGTTATACATGGGCTCTTAGTTACTTGATTAGATCAACTTGCCTTGATTTTCAATTGTTTGAAATGG